CTTTTTTATTATGTCAATGCATGCACATAGATAAAACCATTTGAAAACAGGTTCCAGTATTCACTTGTCTAGTACTGCTACAATTTACTCAGTCACTTCCTAGTTGTTAGTCTGTTTCTAGGTATAATCAGTAACTCTGCATATACCTTTACTTACTCACCTGCTTATTTCTTGGAATGGATTTCTAGGCTAAGACTTCCCGGGATCATAGTCATTTTATATTTCTTTTTATTGTTGCGGTGTCTATACCTGGGGGTCGTTGGGTCTGGGGAGCACTCCTGGATGTTCTCAGAGCCCTCACCCCGCCCCCCATGGTGCTCAGGGGTAGTTGTCAAACCAGGGCCTCTCACATGCAAGATGTGTGCTCAGGCACAAGATGTGTGCTCAGGCGGTGAGGGGCATCTCACTGCCTGAGAGGTCCTTGGGGTCCTTCTTAAAGGAACCTTCACAAATAGTAGAACACCTGCTCTTTGGTTTGAGGTCGCTTTATTTCCTGTACACACTGTGTGTCTGGCCTTATTTTGACTCGTCCTTTTTTGTTCTTTTTCTTCTTTTTCTGTCAATTCTAGAACCATATGCTCTGCGTGTCAGTTTTATAAATGTTTTACTGCTTGGCAGCGCCAAATCACACACCCCTCAGTCGTGTAATTTTTTTAAAAAATTCCTGCTACTTTTACATATTTTCAGATGAATTTATAGCATTTGGAAACTCTAGAAATTCTTTTTTGGCAGTTTTCTTGGACTTGCATTCGAATCATAGATTGACTCCACGAATCAAGATTTTAATCATAGAATTTTATGTCTGTGATCTAGGAACGTAGGTCTCCTTCCATTTATTCTGTTCTGTTAGTGTATTTTTGTCTTGTCACTGGTCCCTGCACATCTGTTTTGTTTACCATTCAGTTGAGGAGAGAGGTACTTTCCATTGTTTACAACTTTGACTGCATTCCCCCAAAGTTTAGGTCTGTGGCATTTGTCGTCTCATTTTCAAAGTTCTCTGCTTGGAGTTCAAGTTCTTCTTTTACCCATGGGCAGAGGTAAAGGTAAAGGTAAAGGCCCTCCCGTTGATCGTCGATTTGCTCGAGCGGGCCCAGTAATGTCTCCCTTGGAGACTTTGTTGTTACTGTGTTTGGCATATCGAATATTCTCGGTAGCTTGCCGGGCTCTCCGAGAGGGGCGGAGGAATCGAACTCGGGTCGGCCATGTTGGCCGCTTATAAGGCGAACGCCCTACCCGCTGTGCTATCGCTCCAGCCCCATGGGTAGAGAGGTTTTTGTTATCCTTTATTATTTCTTATCCTTTATTGTTAAAGTCTTGCTTAATTTTTATGTCTCCTAAGAATGCTAAGATTATTTCTAAACTCCTTCTCTGGTGTATGGGATGCCTCCGTTTTGAGAAGCCAAAAGTGGAAGGTCTCAGACTCCCTCAATGGGTTCTGTTACAAACTTTCCCGTGAGTGGTCATGTGTTTTTTCCTTGTCAGCTCGTATTGCGTGGCTTCAGAATTCAGAGTTAGAGCTCCTGTGACTTTGTCAGAGATGATTTTCCTTTTTATTTTTGAGAACTGCTCTGACTCTTTATTCTGAACAGTGGTGGGTGTAGGAAGTCATATTGTATATTTTGTATATTTTGGCCCGAATGGAAGCACTTCGGGCCGCAGCTTCTGTGGAACTAGCTGGAAGGTTCTGGGAGCTGCTTTACCTCCTGCTCCCCCAGAGTCCTGATTCTTGCAATAAGCCGAGCCGTGGCCTTTGCCCCCGGTCTCCAAACTCTGGGCACATGCTTGGTGTCCTGGTGGTCTCGGAGGTAGGGAGGGTGAGGTTGGCCGCCACACTCTGCCCTCTGCCCTCTTGCCCTCCACAGCCAGTGCTTCCACTGAGCCTCTTGCTTCTCCCAGACACTCCACCTTCTCCCACTCAAATGTTCATTTGTTTGTTTTTACACAGTTGTTCATGATTGGTCATAGGATGTTCCAATTCCAACCAATGCAGTTTTCTCCTGCCTTCCCTCCACACCCCCTCCAGCATGCTTCTACAGCAGGCACTTCTCCTCTCTCCCTCTCCTCTCTCCCTCTCCCTCTTCCGCTCTATCTCCCCCCCCCGCCCCCCATCTCTCCCTCTCCCTTGCCCTCTCCCTCTCTCCATTACGGTTTGTAATACAGGTACTTACAGGTTGTCATGTACGTCCCTCACCCTCCTTTCAGCACTTAGTTCTTGTCCAGAGTGATCATCTCCAACCAGCATTGTCTTACTGGTGCTTTCTCTCTCCTACCTGCCCTTCCCCCCTCCCCTTGCGTTTGTGGCAGGCTGTGACCCGTCCTCCTGGCCCTTGTTTCTATAGTCTATGGGTATTAGTCTCATATTGCCCTTTTTGTGCGTGTGGAAGGGAAATGTTTTGCTCTTATCACTTGTTTATAAAACTGTCTTTGCAGGCTCGGGGGCTTTCTTGGGTGTCCGGGGCTTCTCGCTCTGGTCCTCAGCAAGGAGGAGCAGCATGGGCCCCGGTTCAGCTCTAGCCCTGATGATGCTGGACACGGAGCCCGCCCAGCAGTGCCGGGGGCTCGGAAACCCCGCCTCGCCCTGCTGGGGACAGCATGTGTGCTGGGCGGGTCCTGCACCTGAACCCAAGGCTGCCACCAGCCCCCACAGCTCCTGGTGTGTAGAGGAAGCCAGTTACACACTCTCCGCCACCAGCCCAACCCAGCCTTGCCCTGGATCACACTGACTGCCCCAGCCTCCTTCCCATCCTCCTGCCCTGTCTGCGTCCTATGCCCACGGCTGGGCCTTGGGTGGTGATTTCGTAACATTAGGCCTAGGCTGGAGTGCTTCCTGGCTACATGACCATGCCGTGCCCAGGGGGTCCTATGTCCAGCAGGAGGGCAGGTCTTGGTGTACTTGTGACCTGCCCATGCTCAGGGCTGACTCCTGGTTCTGCGTTCAGGGCTAACTCCTGACTCTGTGCTCTGGACTGACTCCTGATTCTGTGCTCAGGGTTGACTCCTGACTCTATTCTCAGGGCTGACTCCCAGCTCTGTGCTTGGGACTGACTCTTGACTCTGTGCTCAGGGCTCACTCCTGACTCTCTGCTCAGGGCTGATTCCTGACTCTAATCTCAGGGTTGACTCCCGGCTCTGTGCTCGGGTCTGACTCCTATCTGTTCTCAGGACTGACTTCGGACTCAGTGCTCAGGGATCATTCCCAGCTCTGTGCTCAGAGCTGACTCCTGACTCTGTTCTCAGGGCTGACTCCCGGCTCTGTGCTCGGGGCTCACCCCTTGTGGGGGTGGCTTAGGGGACTCTGGGGTGCAGGGATGGAAGGCATTGCAGATGCCACCCTCCGTGCTGTTCCGTCTCTCTGGCACCCACCTTGCTTGTGCCTGGGTAATAGGGAACGTCTTTCGTTTTGTTGCCATTTGCAGTGACCATATTCTGTTTCTTTGTGAAGATGGTTATATTTAATTGTACATTTTCCCCCACCTTTTGTGCCTCCTCCATATGAACCTGGCTACTGGAAATATAAATTGTGTGAATCCTTTCCTTCCCCTATTAGTTTCTTCTTTGGGGGTAGGACAGGACCCAAAAGAGGTAAATTAGGTAAATCAGAATTAACTCTAATGGTAGGCTTTTTAAAACTTCTGGGAAGGAATCTTCCATCAGCGTTTACTTTCTAACTTTCGAAAGTTAACTTCCATTTCAGATTATATGCCCAGGGTTATAAAACTTTACATCTTAATATACAAAAATGTCTTTTCTTAAACTACCTAATTGAATATATCAAGGAAAAGTATTTTATGATATTCTGATATTATATGAATTGATCCCCTGGACTGGCCTAAGGTCCCTGATGTTTGCAGAGTGATCCCAACAATGAAAATAATAATGATGTATTAATTACTAGTAATAAACTTGATTGCTAAATCATGTCTTTACCAGTCTCAGGGATCTGAGGGGAAGATGAGGGAGGGGCCGGGCCCCACAGGCCAGCTCTTTCAGGCTTTGTGTGAGGGCGTGCTCCCTAAGGGGCTTGGGCCCATGTGTGGTGCTGGACATTTGGCTTGTCTCTCCAGCCCAGGTCTCAGGGATGTTAATAAATCCCTATTTAGCAGTAGTGTATCTGGCATTCAAATTTATAGTTTTTTAAAAAATTATATTGTATAATATTAAGATAATGTTTTTCTCAAACTATTTAAATTATATATGTGAAGAAAAATATTTTATGATATTCTGATAATGAATATTACAATAATTAGAATATTACAATATCCTTTAGAATATTAAAATATCCTTTAGAATGTAGCACTGTCCTCCCATTGTTCATCCATTTGCTCAAGCAGGCCCAGTAATGTCTCCATCGTGAGACTTGTTGTTACTGTGTTTGGCATATCGAACACATCACAGGCAGCTTGCCAGGCCTTGCCTTGTGGGCGAGATACTCTTGGTAGCTTGCTGGGCTATTGTAGGTTATATGAAGATTTTAAAATAAAGTCAAATAAAATTTTATTTTGTGTATTTAAATACAATAAAAGTTTAAGTTAAAACACATTTCTGTTATAAATCACTGTTCATACTTCATTGTCAAATTACTTTCTTGGGTTAAATGAGAAATAGACTGCTTTTCGCTATTGTAGTTTAGTCTGTGGCTGATAACTTATTTCCAGAGAAAAATTAAAAGGTCTTAATTTCTTACTAAAAAAATTCATCCCTCGGCAGTCTTTGGAAGAACTTCGTATGGTGTTCTCAAAGACACAAGACTGTGTCCTGTTCTTCATGAATTCTGGTGTTTTGGTGCCATCTTGTGGCTGAGCTGGGGGGTGCGCCTCCGCATCAAGAGCCTGGCGCAGCTCTGTCCTGGGTGGGATAGGCGCCTAGACAGCGTGTGCGCCTGTCCTGTGTGAGCTGGGCCTGCTTGCAACACCAGGAGCTGTGCTTGCCGGGGGAAGGAATCGGTCTGCCCCACCCCCCCCCCACCCCCGGCCCCCTGACACTCTCCTCTCTTGGCCCAGCTGCTGCTGTTTGAGCGTTCCTGGATGAGCAGGTGGAAGTCGTCGGTCCTGCACGAAGGGGAAGGGAACATCCGGAGTGTCAAGTGGAGAGGCCACCTGATCGCGTGGGCCAACAACATGGTAAGGGACAGCCCCGTGCTCCAGGGGCTCGGAAGGGGAGGCCGCATGCAGGGGAGCGACGCTGTGTGCATGGCCGTTTCTAAGCCACAGATGGTGACTCAGGCCCTACCTGGAAGCTCAAAGAAATTAGATTGCTCTGGGCTTTCATAATAGAGTAATTCCCAACATATTCTAGCTCTATTTTAGAGTAAAAAAAAAAAACCCGAGGCATGGAAAATAGCCCAAGAAAATGAAAAGGCATCTTAATAACTGAAGGGATGCATTGGGAATGCGGTATTGAAAATACCATTTGCCTATTAGCCAAAGGCAAGTAATGGTGATATGAAACAAGTGCGCTATATTGCTGATTTCCTCTTTACTCCCAGAATAATCACAGGCAAAATAAACAGACTGCCTTTTAAAGGGGGATTGTAATTTTGGGTGCTACGCTCAAGTTTCACTTGGTATGTGTGAGGGTAAGTAGAAAGTTTGAAAACTATCTTCTTGACATCTAGCATTATCTTTTAAAATCTCATGATATAATGTAGTAAATGATATAAAGTAGCAAATGAGTAAAATCACATGATGCAATGGAGCAAATGATATAATGTGTAAGTGAGAGTAAGTTTCTTGATATAATAAATGAGTAAATTCACAGCTGGTCAGCTCTGCATCATAGAAGTTTCCAGAATCTCCTTTGTTATTCTGTGCTTTTCCCTCTTCTCCGGGGTCATATTAAAGGCTGACAAATGGTGCCCTCTTGCTTTACTTGCTGTTCACTACTTGCCTCTTTTTCCATCTGAGGACTTGAAAATGTCAGGTATGCTTTTGCTTCCACTGTGGCTTTCAGAATCACAGGGTTTTGAAAACGTGTGTGATGGACCAGTGTAATTAGAAATGTTACTAGTCTGTCATTTTGGAAATGCAGTTCTTGATTCCTTTGCATTTCACATTTGTGTGAATCTGAGTTATCCAGGCCATTCACTAATTAATCACTTATGCCTTGTAAGGGTGACCATGATTTTTTTTTGGGGGGGGGGGTGGCTTGGGAAAGGAGTTTTTTGTGGATTTGCTTTTTTACATTTTCACAGGGTTTGGGGGGAACTGGAGAGCTTTCAATGGTTCTCAGTCGTGCTCAAAAGCACGGACAATATTTTGCAGTGCTGAGGATCAGCAGTATTAATAAATTTTTCTTTCCTTGTTACCTAGAGGGTCGGTAATGCTGTTTTACATTCCAGGGTGTGAAGATTTTTGACATCACTTCCAAGCAGAGAATCACCAACGTGCCCCGGGATGATGTGAGTCTCCGCCCAGACATGTACCCCTGCAGCCTGTGCTGGAAGGACACGGTCACGCTGGTCATTGGCTGGGGCACATCTGTCAAGGTGATTTTGCTCGTTTTTATAATTTCCCATGTCCTTAGAGATCCACCAAGGATAGTCCCAGGGAGTATGAGTTCCTGAATTGCTTCTCCAAAGAGAAATATTTTCACCTGAGCGTATGCCATATGATACCATTTAGTGCTCCACTTCTTTCACGTGCCTAAGTTTTAAGATCCAGTCTCTTCTGTCTCTTGTCTGTCCTTCTCCCTCCCTCCTTCCCTTCCTTCCTTCCCTCCCTCCCTCCCTCCCTCCCTCCTTTCCTTCCTTCCTTCCTTCCTTCCTTCCTTCCTTCCTTCCTTCCCTCCTTCCCTCCCTCCTCCCTTCCTTCTCCCGCTGCCCCACAGTGCAGGGGTCCAGAACTGCCCCATGGCCGGCATGAGCTTTCTCTGGCCCCTGAAGATCAGTCCTTCTTTTTCCATGCTTTGCAAAACAAAATTTAATTCTTCTATGTTAATGGCATTGCCTTTTTTTGTTTGTTTGTTTTAATCTTTAAAACTTAACCATAGCCCAGCTGACCTTGGCTACTTATAGAACATGGCTAGTTTGTTGCTTAGTTGGGCCTTGCTGGTTGTATTCTTTCTGTTCCCCAAGATTTGACCCGTCGCTTCTTCATTAACTCTGATGGCAGGAAAAGAAAATTAAAGCTACATCATCCTTGGTAATGGTTGTACAGAGTAGAAGCTCATCTATAATATGATTTGGGAATATGCTGTGTTATATAATTATCTGCCCTTTATGTGCCTGGGTAAATAAAATTTAGCTTTTCTACCTCAGGGAGCCTAAAGCTCACTCATATTTATTCCATACCTACCACTGCTTGTCTTGGCTGCTTCAGAGCCAAAAGTCATTTCTTTTCTTTTTAAATATGAGGCTTCATCGAAACAAAAAACCACCATCCCCACCACAAATAGATTAGCTGAACTAAATGGAATTTTAAGACTTCCTCTAATTATTAAGTTCGGCGTGCTTATTGTTCTCACATAAGCATTTGGGCGAGGATTAAGTGATGTGCTTATGAAAAGCTTAGCATAGATCCTGACATATTTTCAGTGCCTAATATTGGGCTGGAGCGATAGCACAGTGGGGAGTTCGTTTGCCTTGCACGCAGCCCACATGGCCGACCTGAGTTTGATTCCTCCGTCCCTCTTGGAGAGCCCAGCAAGCTACTGAGAGTATCTCGCCTTCATGGCAAAGCATGGCAAGCTACCCATGATGTATTCAATATGCCAAACACAGTAACAATTATCACAATGGAGACGTTACTGGGCCTGCTCAAGCAGACCGATGAACAACGGTAGGACAGTGCTATAGTGCTACAATAAATATCAGCTGCCTTGGTTATACTGTAAAATCTAGAAAAGTCATGAAAGAAACATGGAGATTTAAAATTTGTTTTTCTGTGGAAAAGGAAAACATCAAAGCAGTTCATTCAGTGATTGTTACTACCAAACCAAGTACTTGCTAACTTGAGCTAAAGTCCTCCTGGCTCTTAGGATGTTGGTAAGATTCAGATTTTCACTCTCTGTCTCTGTCTGTCTCTCTCCCCGCCACATGCCCTCCAGGCCTCCCCTCTCCTATTCTCCTCTTTTCTCCCATCCTCTCGTCTCCTCTCCCGCCCTCCCCTCCCCTCTCCTGCCTTCCCCTGCCCTTCCCTCCTTCCTTCTCCACTGCCCTCCTCTCCCGTCCGCAGCCCTCTCACCCCACTCCCCAGCAGTGTTTCGAGGCTGCTTCAGAGCTGGGAGGCCGAGTGTTGGAGCCCTAGGTGTGGTACTACGTACTTGGGCCAAACTGTGCCTGGAGGCTCCCTGGGCTATTCCTAGTGTTGTGCACTGGGAGTACGGTGCTGGGATCAAACCGGGGTGCACCCCTCACCTCTAGGCTATTTCCCTGGCTCCGTTAAAGAGCACGGTGTGATTCTGTTCAGGATAACAGGAAGCTGTGTTCGATGGTCTGGGATTTCACGGTGATTTCCCAGTGAGGAGGCTCACCATGTGCATGGCTACTCCGCCAATGAACTTACAGTCCTGATCATTTCATTTCCCTCAGTGAGTCAGATGGCTCTTTCTCTTAAAGTTAGGGTTTCCTTTTAGTGGTAAAAGATACAGAAAATGAGCCTGTTATTTTTATGTGCACACGTGAGCACCTCACTGAGTACTGTCAGTAAAGCTTTCTCCATTAGGCTGAGCATGTGCCTCCAGCAATCCCTCCTGAGAGTTGTGCCTTTCTGGAGTGGAAGAGTCAGGTGAGAGCCGTGATTGACTCAAGCCCTGGAGATGGGAAGATTGTCCTTCGCCAGCTGGGTGGGCTGAGGTCTGGGCACATGCATCTCTCAGGGAAGCACTCGGCGGGGGGAGGCTGGTGTCCACAGAATGCCAGCAGCCACAAAAGCTGAAGGAGACAGGGAGCTGCAGAGAGCTGGTCCCTGTGGTGCTGTACCTGCCCACACTTTGATGTGGCCCACTGAAGTGGTTTTCAGTCAGCAAATTTTTCCTGTTGTGCTATGAAAACATTCCTGCCACTCAGCCTTCAGGCTGTGGAGATGGCCACAGAAACCACAGCCCTTCCCTACAGACAAATCCCTGCTGCTGCAACCCACCGTGTTTGTAGTGATATGCTGTGACCACTGCAGGGAACGAATACATCCTTAGCGTGTCCAGCTTACAAAAGGACTCAGATAGAGTTTTATGTCACTATTACTTCTTTGCACAGCAGAGCCTGGCAAGCTCTCCATGTCGTATTCGATATGCCAAAAACAGTAACAATAATGGGTTTCATTCCCCTAACCCTGAAAGAACTTTCGATACAGCAGCGTTGGAAAGGATGAGTAAGGAGAGGCTGCTAAAATCTCAGGACTGGGATAAATGAAGGCATTATTGGTGCCTGCATGAGTAAATTGGTGAACAATGGGATGACAATGATACAGTGATTACTTCTTTAGGAGTTCTTTAGTTCTTTAGGCATGCTACCTCTTCTAACTTCATTGGTAATAATTTGAGCAGGTCTCAGCTCAGAGTCCTTCAAGTGCTCTTCAGAGAAGGAAAGAGAGCACACGCGTTCCTCTCAGGCAGAGAGCAGTGTTGTGTGAGAGAAATCGCAACTCATGTCGTGTAAGAGTGTGCCGCTCCAGCTAGCCGTTTCACTGTGTTAGAGGGTCTCCTAGTGTTAAAGACACACAAAGAAAGGGCTGGATTCCCTCCCGTTCCAGATGGACCTAACCGTTGAGGGAAGATGGAGATTAACAAGCAGGTCAACGTGCTATGTTGATGGGTGAGAAGACCCTGGGGAACAGCTCGGCAGGATGAGTGAAGGGGTTGGGAGAGGTGCATGAAGTGAGAGCTGTTCGGAGAAGGCCTCTCATGGTGATAGCCAGAGGTCTGAGGCAGGGAACCAGGCCAGCAGGGAAATAGAAGGGCATAGTGTGTGTGTGTTGGGGTACAGGAGGAGTCTGAGGGACTGTTGGTGCCCACAGGGTTCGTAAAGTCTCGCTGGGTTTTCGTTTGAGTGAGATGGGAAGTCCATGGAGATGTCTTTGTGTGGTGGGGTTAGTGAAGTGAGTCGACCTGGGTCTTCAGAGGTCACTCTGGTGGGGAGCTGAGCGACAACGGGGGAGCAAAGGAGAGGGGTCAGGAGGTCACCTCAGAGGAAAACTGGTGGCGTCTTGGGTCAGCTCAGTGGTAATGGCAAAGGATATGGAATTCTGGGTGTTTTTTGAATGAGCAAGTGGTGGCCCTGAGAGGAACTGCAATCAGAGCTGCAGTGGGTGAAACAGGAAGCCACTGTGGAGCTTGCTGTGTGGAGACCCCGAAGGCGTTGGTGTAGTTCATGGCACCATGGGACGTGGCAGAGGATGCAGTTGGATGAGGTCAGCCCGTGTGGGTGTGCAGGCACCTGCTTGTCACTGTGAAGGCCTGTGGAAATCATAAATTTGCTCTTTGGTTGCACTAGAGCATAGGGCGGAGCTTGAGGCTCTCCGCCCCTGTGGGAGCCAGCACTGAGATCAGACCTCAGGCCTGGCCAGGCAAGCTGGAGCCGCTAAAGAATGCCTTGCCCCCTCGTCCTCGGGGGGCTGGGGCTGACCAGGCCGACCCAGGGCCCCACTGCCTGAGTTCCAGCTCCAGGACATGGCGTTGGGCCACTCCGGGCAGCATTCACTTCTGCAGCTCAGGGCAGGTAAGAGCAGCTCAGGGACAACTTGGAATTAGGAATTGCCGGCAGCATCCACATCCTCTAACTGTCTCTGGTCTCTTCACTTCTTGCTACACCCTGCCACATCCCCTGTCCTCCTTAGCCGTGTCTCATCACTGCGGTCCAAATGCTCTTTTTAGGTTACCGATCAGTCATGTTGGTTTCTTTGTAAAATCACTCACGGAGTGCTCATTACTTGGAGATGTTGACTTCTTCCATGTGGCTTCCTTGCGTCTGATCTAAGCCAGGCCCTGCTCCCTTCAGCACGTCCTGCTGTGGTGCTCCATGCCCAGAGGACCTTCCAAAGAGCGTTGCCGTGAGCTGAGTGCCTTTTGCTTCCTGCTGGTGCTCCTGACCCGTGTCCCTGCTCAGGAAGCCTCCGTCCCTGTCAGCAGCCATCCCTCACCTGTCTCTGGCACTTTCCCATCACACAGTTTTGTGTTTCATGAAACGCTGCAATTCCCCTGCTGCCCTGTAGTCTTCCAAGGAAAGAGCTTTCTCCTTTGAAAGTGTAACTCAGGGCTGGGCTGCATATTGGTTCAGAAATTCACACTCATATTGCTGCCATGTTTGTATTTTTTCATACTTCACACTTGATAACACTACTTTCTATTTTTGTCAGCACATTTGAAATAGTCACTCACTTGGCATGGTGGGAATACTTTTTAGACATGAGGGCATTTGCCCTGCACGCAGCCAACATGGCCGACCCGAGTTCTATTCCTCCGCCCCTCTCGGAGAGCCCGGCAAGCTACCGAGAGTATCTCGCCCGCACGGCAGAGCCTGGCAAGCTCCCCGTGACGTATTCGATATGCCAGACACAATAACAACAAAGTCTCCAACGGAGACGTTACTGGGCCCGCTCGAGCAAATCGATGATCAACAGGAGAGCCTTTACCTTTACCTTTACCACTTCTCCAGTAAGGGCGATCAGAAACGTACCAAGAAGAGGAGGAAAGAAGGGGAAATCGGGGAAGCAGATGGAAAATCAAGATAAGACAGGAGACAAATGACAAAAAGGGACCAAGGAAGAAAACAGCAAGCGCTTATATCTCCACAGCCATGGGTTCGAGTCCTGTGTCTTAGCAAGCTAATACTCTCATATTTCCACTGTGTTGCTGGGCAGGGATTTGAGCATGCGTTTTTGTTTAATTTTTGGTTGGGGGCACACACTGCAGTGTTCAGGGCTTACTCCGGACTCTGTGCTTAGGGGTCATTCCTAGTGGGGCCCGGGGAACCAGAGAGTGTAGCTGCATACAAGGCAAGCACCCTGCCCACTGTACTCTCCAGCCCCTGAATATGTGTGTCAAACAGACAAAAGAAACATCATAAAGTTGTGCTTTTCCATTGACCTATTAATCTGCTTCTAGAAATTTATTGTAAGGGGAAAAAGTTCAAAAGTTTGATAGAAAAGTATATTCATTATACTCTTGTTTGCAGTAGATATAGATAGAAGAGAAAAAGAGATTGATTAATTCACGGTACATTCATTATAGTGAATTGGTAATGTAATACAATAAGGAAACAGGATTGGTTTTTTTTTATGGATTTAAAATGATGCATTGAATTACCTCTAGTTAATTGTAAAGTTAGGAAAATACTTCCCAAACCCCCAAAAATGGATTGTTAAAAGTATTTTGTTCTGGGATTATAGATGTATGTTTTCCCCTTTTAGTTTTTCAGAATTTTAGGATTTTTCTTGTTGTAGCTATAATTAGAGTAACCGTTATATAATAACACAATATATGTTATCTAAACTGATCCCTAACTAAATTTGGAAGAATAAGTACTAACTTTACCTGAATGACTGAACTTCTATCAATTTTTCTTGTTTTTTTATTGAAACATAGAATATATTTACTTAGAAAATAGATCCTTTGTCTTATCACTTGAAAAGTTAACACACAACTGTGTGTATGGGTGATAAATATGAATATGTGTGTGTATCTCCATCCAAATTGTACATAGTTTTTTAAAAAAATAAAAATCGTGGGGGTGGTGGCACACCAGTGGTGCTCAGGATTTGCTCCTGACTTAGTGCTCAGGGAATCCCTCCTGGCAGGGGTTGGGGAACCACGTATGGCCCTTTTAAGTTCTATTTGATTCTGTTGCTCTTCCTCCCTCTCCCTCCTTCCTTCCTCTTCTTCCCCTCCCTTCCTTCTTGCCTTCTTCCCATCTTTCCTTTCCTTTAAAGTCTTCTTAGTTTATAGGCCATAAAAACAAGCAGGAAAAAGGCCAGAAACCATTCTATAATCTGTCAACTCCTGATTGAAATGATACAGTGCATTGATTTTAATATGTTTGCAAGAAGATTAGCATGGGTTGCTTTTGCTAGGGATTATCTAGCACCAGTGAAATAAATATATTATTATTTAGCCGAACAAAGTAAATCCTCATGCAGATGTCACCCATATTAGCCATTGGTCATTTTATTCTTCTGGACTGTAATATATTTAAAAATCACAGGAGGCCTTAAGAAGAGTCTCTGAGAAAGGCTCATTAGAAGCATGTTTGAATTATACTACAGTTTCTCTCTTTTTTTGGCCCTTGAATAAGACTTTTTTGAAGGGCAATGTAAATGATTGTTGAAAGTATGTTGTTGAACTTAATTTGTCTTTTGAGTCATTAGGAACTCCCCATTTTCAGTGCTCCCTGGCTAGTTTAAGAAAAGTATCAGCGGTTGAATGCACTGTGATGAAGTTTCCCACTGATTGAAAAAAAATAACCTCTGAATTTACTTTCTAGATCTGCTCAGTGAAGGAGCGGCATGCAAGCGAAGTGAGGGACCTGCCTAGTCGATATGTTGAAATAGGTATGCGCTTGGACCCTTTGAATCTCATTTGACTATTTAATTCAACTTTTTCTTTTAAAGCAATTTTGAGGTACTGTGCGTTTCAATATTGTTAGATAATGCCAGCAACACACCTGTCACCAGAGCACCCGCCTGCTCCCTCTCCCCCCAGGTCCCCGTGTCCTTCCCACAAACACACAGACTGCCCTGCGATGCCGTTCTCCCGTTGGTCTGCTTCAGGCTCTTGTTGCTGCCTTCCTGTGTCTCTTGGAGACCCACACTTGAAGGAGATCATTCTGTGTCTACCCCCTTTTCTTCCAACTGACTACACTCAATATGAAACTTTGCTCTCAGGAACCTTTTTTCCAGTTACATTTTTAATTTGAAGACAATGTTATAGTTGGTTTTGAAGTCAGGTAATTATGGATTGGGGTTCTGGTTTTGTTGTTTAATACCTGGCCTTTGGACAAAAAGAAAAAAAATTGCATTGGTTTTGGGTTCAGACCTGACAGTAGTCTGGGCTTACTCCTGACTCTGTGCTCAGGGGTAATTCCTGAGGCTCAAGGGACCATGGGGATGTGCATGATAAGACCCTGGCCTGCCACATACCTGCTCTGCTATTGCTCCAACCCCCTTTGAACAAGTTCTGTATGCCTCATGCCTTGTTATTTTGTTTCAAGACCACCCCCCACCACTCACCCGGCAGTGCTCAGGGTTTACACCCAGCTCAGTGCTCAAGGATCACGGTGCTCAGGGAACCACATGCAGTGCTCAGAATCAGACCCAGGCTGGCCATGTGCAAGGCAGTCATGCTGGCAGCTGTCCTCTCTCCAGCCTAAACTCAGTTATGTAGAAAACTTCAGAAAGTATTGCTTTTGCACTAGTCATTCCTTAGGAATCCCTGAGGTAGTGCTTGCAGGTCTCATAGCAATACTGATTCCTGGTCCTGGAGATGCCTTCTAAGTAATAATCACATCAGGCGTCAGGTTTTAATGACAACTGTCTTTCCTCTGGATTGCTGCAGTGCCTTCTGATTTATCTCCTTCCACTGTGAACTGCTGTTCTGAGTCTCCTCTCGCTGTAGCCCAGATACAGTTACATGTCACTCTCCTTCAGTCCACGCATGTCCCTCGGATCGACCCTCACACAGTGCCTGGCCTCTGCAGCCTCCTGGGCTGTCGCTCAGACCCATCTTGCTTTAGTCACTCTGTACTATCACCACCCAGCACTTTCCCCCTCCCCAGCCATGTTCCCTCTTCACCTGTAAATGATCTTCTTGACTCCATCATTGGCCCTTCAACATGCGTCACCTTTCAGCATTGCTCTCCTGGGAAAGCCCATGTGAACTCACTAGCAAAGTCTGATTCCCCGTTGTTCGCTTGTCCAGCACTGCTGATTCTGGCACAGTTCCGTTGCAGTGACACATCACTCAGCATTTCCTTCTGGGCCACCAAACCAGAATCCCCTTGACTGTGTGCCTGGGACTCGCTGTTGCTCATCAGGTCTTGGGTGCAGTGCCCGGCACATATCAATGCCAGCCTTTGTACGCAGAACTGTGGAGGGGTTTCCAGGGATTCTGTGCCCGTGCTTTCATACCTCGCATGAGTATTCAGATTAGAGGAGTGGAGACTTACTCATTTTTTGTCTAACACATACAATAAAATTAATTTTTGTACTTTAAAATTTTATTTGGGGACCCTCTAGCAGTTAGTTTTAAGGGCCACCAGGGTCACAGTCGGCACTGCTCTAGGACACATGGTTGGGGACTAGACTCATGGCCACTCGCTTCAGCCCTCTGAACTCCAATAAAACCTGTATTTGTATTCCTGAGAGCTGAGTATTGGAGGCAGCATCATGACAGAAGAGTTTTGCCATTTTATAAGATGACTGAAAAGTCCGTTTATCCATTTGGATGGCAAGGAGGGAATATAAATCTGATGGAATTTGTTTTGATTTTGATTTGATTGATCATGACAATCTTTCTTTTTTTAAATTTTTATTTTTTTAATGAATCACCTTGGGGTACAGTTATAGACTTAAAATTTTGTGCTTACATTTCAATCATACAATGATCGAGTACCCATCCCTTCACCAGTGCCCATTCTAACCTCAGAAAAAGAGGTATATTACCCACCACAGTAAATGGTGATGCTCTTTAAATCTGAAATATTTTTGTGCTTGAAGTCAGAAGTTGGTGCTAGAGCTTTAACAGATTTTTGCTTTCCAAGGATAAAAATGCAGATTTCTCTGAAACTGGGCAGAGTCTTTCTAAGCAGGATATACAGGATCTGAGGGAAACTGAGGAACAGCAGTTTGAATGATAACCTGAAGATGAGTGGAACATTTTTAGTATCTTTCTGTCTTCTTTCCTGCCCTTCTGGAGAAAAAAAATTATTTGGAAAAATGGAATTCTCTGAATATTTCAATTATGTTAGTATTAGATGAGTTTTTAAAAGCCCTGAATTTTTAAAAATCTGAAACTTCCCAGGTATGTTGAATCGACAGTGGCTGTCATCTCCCCCTTGGTTGTCATCATTCAGCGCTCACATAACACCTGAGCTGTTACTTGCCTCAGTTTCCTTCCTCGGCAACAGGTGTGCCACTTTATACTCCAGGTAAATCGGTGACTTGTCCAGGATCTTACTGCCGTGGCGTCAAAGTGGATAGCCTCTCCCCCCACAGAACAACCATCCTGTGGTTCCCGGGAGATGCCGCGGCAGCTCCTGTGGGATATTTCAAGGTCACTTCCCTTTCCTTTTCCCATCTATGGAACAGAAGCAGCGTCCAGCCTTCCAGAATGGCTGTGTAAGTGAAACAGGACAAAGGAATGCTGGTAGCATGATGGAAGGAATGTCGAGACACGTTGGGCACATGGTAGGCCTCGCCTGATCACAACGCTCAGTGTCACTGTGCAGAACTACATCCCAGCGTCCTCACTGCTAGTGATTGGCCAGGGGCCCCGAGCCCTGGGATCACGTCATTCCTAAAGTGTGGTTCATCTGTGCTCTAATTGACGTGAAATGCGCTATGTGTGAGAACTGACAATATTGCATTACTGACATTTTGTACCATGGCTAGTGGTTAAGTACCATTTTTCCCCTCTTGAGAACGGCCCTCTAGGAATATAAACCATTTCCACAGCAGGAGGCAAAGTGGTTTAGATAAGAGTCCTTGACTAGGATAAAGGGAAAAAGAAATATTAGGAGCGCTGGATTACAATTGCTTTAACCCTGAGCAGCAGTATGAGCCACTATTCTTTCAGTAAATTAGGTGATAATGCTGTTGAGATTAAGGAAATGCTTGTGATTGTACATTTCTTAGATGTGAGATGTTTCTGACTCATCATTATAAAGCAAGTTTTTGGGAAAAAAAAATCAACACTAATTATTCCTCTCAATAGTATCTGTCTTATTTTTTGTGAATAAAAAAAGATGCTTTTAAAGTCTAGGCTTATTGGCAAGCCCCCACCCTAGGAATTTATTTTCTATTTCTTTTCTAACAACATTTTCCAATAGTAATTAATAACCCAGGCCACTGGCTTTATTATTTAACTTGGGTTTCACAGGAATTCCTCCCCAGCCCTCTGGCACATTTCTCCAACATCTCCAGGCGTCTTTGTAGAACTGTAGTTGGATAGCTACCATGCCATGCTGTGGGGAGTGAAGCCAATGTGTGCATTTTCAGGGCGTCTGTGGCCTGGGTAGATGACTTACAGGCAAGGAATTAATAACTTATTTTAATGTAATTTCATTTATTACTAAGCGATAGCACAGCGTGTAAGGCGTTCGCCTTACAAGCGGCCAACATGGCCGACCCGAGTTCGATTCCTCCGCCCCTCTCGGAGAGCCCGGCAAGCTACCGAGAGTATTCGATATGCCAGACACAGTAACAACAAAGTCTCCAATGGAGACGTTACTGGGCCCGCTCGAGCAAATCGACGATCAACGGGAGGGCCTTTACCTTTACCTTACTAAGCAATAATAAGAAAAAATATGAGATTTCAGGAAGAGAGAAAAGAAGGAGCCCGTTTTTCTCTTTAAGTGACATTGGTGTCTTCAGTGGAATCATCTACAACTAAATCTTTGACCTTAACACCCATTGTTGGGGTTTCCGTAATTGGCTTGATGGAAGGAAATGAGTGGAAGCTGAAGGGCTGATAACAAAGCAGAGAACTGTAAGATGGTCTTCATAGGTGTGTCTCTCTTTATCTCCTGTGTCCTCTGTCCAGACGCTGGCCCCCAGCTATGACACAGTCCGCCTCAAGTTTCAGCGGGAGTCTGTACCACTCCCACCTATTCAAGCTGTTATTCCAGTCAAGGATCTAGCTATGTTTATTTCAGTTCCGTTATAATTCAGTTTGACTCCCTGTGATCTGTGAGTTCTGTTCTGCTTAACATTTTCACATCCTTTTATTATGCAAAACTTTACAAAGAGAGAAAAATAAAAATATCTTCTTTGGTTTTTGACCATACCTGGTAATGCTCAGGGCTGATTCCTGGCCCTGAACCCCAGGATCACTCCTCATGGCCTCTGGGACCACATGGGATCCTGGGGATGAACCTCATTGGCCACAGGCAAAGCAAGTGCTTTACCTGCTATATTACCTCTCAAGCCTGAAAAATAAAGAACTTTGACAAAGTTAGCACTTGTGTATGCGGTGATTCATCTCCAAGAGCTAACAATTAAGATTTTACTATACATATTCAATTACATATTGATTCTTCAGTTCACTTCTCCTCAAAGTAGGAATTCTGTTCCACTCAGTGCTAGAGATTCAAATCTTGCTGTTGTGAATGAAATTAATACATTTACTCTACAGTAATTATCGTGGTAAGAAATCTAAAACACCATTCAAAATAATTAGCTGATATGTACTAAATACATTTAAAACAGAGCTTCATTCCATCTCAGTCATTTCAGCAGGATGGTGTCATTAACTTCCTCTTTAAAAATGTTAGACACTGTGATGTATAATACTGTTTATGAGAGTTTCGTGCATCTAGTGTTCCAACACCACCTCC